AGCGCCGCGCGACGCGCTGTAAGGGGAAATAAAACGCGCGGCTCAAAAACGCGGGTACAGACTAACCTCGAAATAACGCCGGCAGCAGGCACTAACTCTCCCTCCCTCTCTCTCTCTCTCTTTCTCTGTCCGTGTTGTGTGTGAATTCGAGTCATCTATTAATAATAAACTATTTCCAGATGCGTCTTGTGCCACCGTCAAGGAACACGCTCTCTTTCTCTCTAATTTCGCCTAAGCGCCTTTGATCTCGCCAGTGATCACCTGTGCGTCAGAGATAAAGCGTAAAGAGAAACCAAAACCGATTATAATTCGGATACGTTCGCTTTCGTATTAGTCACATCAGTCAACGCATTTTTAATCCCTTAGCGAACAAATGTAAGTTAGTCTCGCTTGTCTCGGAAACGTATCGGGAACTGAACTCGATGGCATTATGTCGATTTTAATTATCTGCTCGCAAAAAGATGAGATATCGCCGTGTATCCGCGATGTCAGCGTCGCTAATTAGATGACAGGGGGATGAAACTTATTGTCGTGCATCGTAAAGAACAAAAGCTTCTACAGCAACGTTGAAATGATCTGCGTTTTGTGGGATGTGGATCGTATAAGTTTACGTATATCCGTACTCTTTTTAAAGGTCATCCTTCCGCGCTAAAATTAGTTAAAAATTTGATACTTATCGAAATTATACCGATAAGAATTGACAATAAGAATTATATATGTTCCAGAAATTTTATTTTATTATAATAAGTACGTACATTTTGCAATCGTTGTGAGACTCTTTAACACGGTTGGTTTATACATTTAGTGTCAGTGAGAAACTAAGGACAAGATCAATCATATTAGAATTTTACGATATTTGCAAATTGCTTTTTCAACACAACCGCATATATTCGGGTATGGTTATCCTAGCCGTTCTAGCGGATCGTATAACAGGGTGTCGATCGGCCGGGCCGACTGTCGCGAGGATTCCGCGCGATCGCGTCGATTAGACGGTAACGGCGTCAAAAGGGCGAGGTAAATATTTATCGCGAGAGAGGAACGAATCGGGGAGGGGCGGGAAGAGGTCGCGAGATGGACGGAGGCCCCCGAGACGCGCCGGACAGGATACGGAGAAGGCTATAATACAGTTTTGCCGCGAGCTGAACGCGGCGAGAGAGCGACTCGCCGGCCAACCGGCGTCGGTCGGTTTTGCTTGGACTCTCTCGGCGCGGTTTGCCGGATGATACCGGCGGGAAAAAGGAAGAAAGAACGGGCGAGGGTAGGAGACGGAGGAAGACTACGGCAGAGAGAGGTTGGGGAGCGGAGGAACGAACGAACGAACGAACAAACGGACGGTGGAACCTTGGTCGTGTTACGGCGCGGGGGAAAGGAGGTAACGGCCGGTGCGTTTGATCTCGGCCGCGGGCGCCGACAAAGCGTTCGTCCACTCTCCTACAACGGCGGACCGTCCCTTGGGTGCGCGCGCGAGAATCGCGTCCATGTGTTGGCTGAGAAAGAGAGAGAGAGAGAGAGAGCGAGAGGCCGAACGACGGAGACAGATAGATGAATAGAGAGAGGGAGGTTGGAAGTGAAGCGAGGGAGCGAGAAAGACGCGAAGCGGAAAGAAGAGAGAAAGAGCGAGCGGTGCGGCAAAGGATCGCGCAAAGAGCGAGAGGGATAGGAGGTCGGGGGGGGGGTGGCTGAAGTGGAAGAGAGAGGGAGAGAGACGAGTCGATGAAAAGGAGGAAGATCGTACCCCGGTGATGGAAAGAGGGGTGTCGAGGGGGCACGAGGGATCCGTTCCACGATTCATCGTGTTGTTGCGCTCGCTCTAGCATGGCGTTCCGCCACGCCACTCCCTCGTGGCGGTGGTACCCCCCCCCGCCCCACACACATACACACACACACACACACATTTACATATCATGCGCGCGCGCATCATCGGGTTTGCTATTAATAAATAATGCTCTCTGTAGTCCGCATTACAACTAAGATTCCTTCCCACACCATCGTCACAGTTGTTGTCGTCGTTGTCGTCGCGGGGATGTATTCTCGATTTCGAATACTCGACCGCTCGTGAACTCCGGTTCCCTCCTTCTGTCCCATTCTGTCCCCGGCCGACGCGATGGACATGCGGTCTGTCGGTCTTGTCACATCGCGGACGGAGGGACGCATTGATGTTCACGGCCTCTTTTCCGCATGTGTTCGTTGGATCTATATATGTGTGCGAGCGCGTTTCGTGGGATCGCCACGAAGGAGAAACGCGTCAATTATTTCGAGAAAAAGTTGCACCGGAGAAAACCGAGAGATAAAGAGGGAAGTGGAAAGAGAAAGAGGAAAAAACGAATTCCCGAGATTCAACGGTGATGACGTCTCTGTGACCTGAGAACTTCCTTCTTTTCACGATATTACTGAATCCGCAATGACGTTGATTCGTCTTTAATAATATCAAGTAATTGCACATTAAACGATGTAATTCCCTTTTAATGTATTGGCGTATGCAATTAAAATCGCATTATCCTCTATTCTCTACCCATTTTCTCATGTTTAATGTCGTTATTTGGGTAAAGGTGGAATATCGCAGGAACATAAATTCAAATAATAAAACAAATGATACATGTATAAGAATACCAAAGCTGACGAAATATTGAAACTTTGTCAATATCAGGAGACCTATTCTTTTTAGCTGAACTTCTTGCACGAGTCATCTTATTCTTTTTCCTTTTACGTTGGAGAGAAAGTTCATCGTGCCTTCTCTGACATTAACATTATAATTGATAGTACTGTCCGTTTAATTATCACCTAGATAGGGCATCGCGTAATTGCACGCATTTAATTTGCGGACGCAAAAGCAAACCGAATTACAAAATCCCCGACGATCGATAACCCGACGATAGCCGAATAGCGTGACACATAAATGTGATAAGGGGATGCCTTTGAAGTCCCCCGGTTTCCGCGCCCAATAAACCGACAAAAGCAGCCGCTCCGTATTATAAATTACGGTATTCATTAGGAAGGCAATAGTCGCGCGCGGTAATAAGAGAGGCGTTAAGTCCAAGAGTCCTCCTCTGTGAGTGTATATAGTATGTCTACGTGGTCCGTATCGAAATAAAAAAAGGAACAGAGGAGGGAAGAGAATTAGAGAATCGTCGAATTAACGCGAATGATTCGAGCGCGGCTTCCTCGAAGGTAATCGGGATCGGCGATAGAGAGCCCGGCGATAGCGCGGCGAAAAGGCATATATATTTCTTAAGGCGACACATCGTGGTGCTCGACCGACCACACTCCACGACGAAGAGTGTTTTCGTTCATTGAGGACCTTGTGTTCGTTTTACTCCGGCCGCCGCGGAACACGACCGTGGTCGATCATTGGACCGTTGCCCGGTCGAAGAAGAAAAATAGAACGGCGGCGGGAGAAAAAGAAGCGCAGCGATATATTCGTGGAAGATTTTCTAAAAGGGATCGCGATAAAAACGCAGAACTCTCGGAATTATCGAGCGCTTTAATGCGAAGAGGGGGTGCGAGGGGGGAGGGGAGGAAGGGGTAGCGGGGGATACGTGTTCGCTGTAGAACGCGACTGATTCATCACCTTCGGCACGTACATTGATCGAAGAAACGAAATGTGGATATGAGGTAAACATGAATCTTCGAAAGTCTACACATTTTCGAAATATTACATTATTTATTTTTTAAAAAGTTGAAGTTTATATAGATGCGGTTTGGACTTGAAGGTGAACGGTTTTAAAGAGGTTGAACGTTCGACTTTTGAACCGATAAGATTTGCTAAATTCAACAAAAACGCAGTTGATTGTGTATATTCGAAATCTCTTTTCCATAATCCGTCTCTAATTCGTTCTCCGTCGAAGAACGCTGTTTGTAACACGTTACGATAGCTCCAGTGGTTCCATCTAACGGTTGGAATTGTAATCCGGTATGCCGACATACAGTTGTATGCAGGTTTGGATGTTTATGTGTAAAAAAAAAATATAATTTTTTTTACAAAAAATAGATGAAACCTTTTGATTGCGTAAATTAGAAAAAAGATATGTATAAATATCAAAGTTAATAATTTTTAATTCAATAATAAAAGTACGTTACTAATTTAAACGCAACGTCCAGGAGTTTGTATGTACATTTAAGAATTATACTTGAACATATATAGTATAAATACGATGAAATCATCGTTTTCCTTAATATTTCAGCATTTTCATCGAAATCATCGTGCGTTACTATAATGACGAAGACTTATACAAGAAAACCGTTGGAATAATCCCTCATCGATTTCGATGGACTTTGGAATTGTAGAGCACAAAAAATATTTATAGATCCATTTCCTTGTTAGATCGTGAAGCATCATTTCGAAATTACATAATGTCTATGCTTACTAGTCCTCCATCGAATACCGCAAACGGTTGCCGCTGCGAGGTGAGGGAATCGTTAATTTTGTAGCTCTCTGGCAAAAAGCGCGCCGTAGCCAGTGCGACATTTATTGACCTTTCATACGCTGGACGTATATATGCGATGGCGGCGTGGCGATGAACCGTGACATAAATTACAATAATTCCGCGTCGGCCGCCGGCTCACGGCGTCCTGTAATTCGTTGCTTAATGATAGCGGCAGCCGTCGAAGCGATTCGCGTAATTTCGCGATACCGGTTCGCTCAAAACTCCAAACCGGTATTACGACGACGAATTGCCTTGAGAACGAAAAAGAGAGAGAGAGAGAGAGAGAGAGAGAGAGAGAGAGAGAGAGAGAGAGAGAGAGAAGGAATAAAAGAAGATCCTAATCGATTTTAATAGCGCGAATTGTCTTTTGCGCGTGTTATATACGCAAATCGTGTATATAATGCGGCGTCATAACGTATTTGCCGACGTCATTCATGAATCAAAATCTCCGTTTCACCTACAGTTGATTGTGTCAATAGAATTCAATTGGACACCGGATGAGCGGAGGTTGCGTGCCAATAAATCGCTATATAAGGAAACGACGCTGCGATGACGGCTTATTAACTAAGTGCAGTTTTTTCCCCGTTAATCGTGGGGCTTTCTGGCTCTTCTTCAGATACTATTAGTGATATTACTGTAAGTCTTTCTGTAAGTGAAGTTGCGATCGATCCACAGATTTCAACGACTGTTTATCGACTAAATTTTATGTGTAATTAAAAATATTTTTCATTTTTTTTACTTTTAATAAAAATTAAAAAATGTTTTAAAGATTATACATTTGTAAAGTTTATGTTAAAAGAAGTCGCTCATATTAAAGGTGTAGTTTACACAATTTATAACTCGTGCAAAATCTATCCGTTACCTATCTGATATTTTCCGCAGTAATAATTTTTTTCAAAATGTTTCAAGTTCTTTTTAAATTATTATAGCAATATTATTAAATTGACGATCAATTTAATTTGTGACATTATTATTTTAGCGTCAGTTTATGATTGCGTTACGAAACTGATGTTTACGGACTTTGTGTAACGCAATTTATACAACTAAAAATGTATTTAGAATTTATATATAATAATTATTGATCGCCAGGATCTAGTTTTGATTATATTGGTCATTTCTTTACACTAATTACTTATTTGATTTATTTCTTTTAAACAATAGAAAATGAAGATACTGTTGATCGCTGTAGCATTGCTCATAGCCATCGAGACTGAAGCTTATCCAGGGTGGTCTGGTTATCCTGGCTTCCAAAATGGACGAGGAAACAATCCTGGCCAAGGATGGGGACATCAGCAACGAATTGAGCAGCAAAACAATATCGAGTGGGTATGCAAAAACCCAAGGACAAACGACATAGTATGTATTATACTTATACAATAATCGCAACAGTTATGAAATCCTCAAAAATCTAAATAAGTTTTTACAAAAAATTCATCTTTTATGTATCGAAAAACTTTTTGAGTAATTATAATCATCTGTATGTATACTAATAATTTTCCAAAATTAAAAAATTTTTTCGTACAAATTTTAGTTGACAAAAAATTAAAGAGCAGTAAAATAGACGATTGAATTTATTCGTTTCTGTAAATATCTGATTTAATCGAGATTGGCCTTTGAAATATTTTAGAGTTAAAAGAAAAATTGCGGCATAAAAATTGCAAATGCTATATAAATATTGGTATATGTATATATATATATATA